GGCAGCTGGACAAGCTGGACATGGGAAGGGCAAGCGCTGAGCCTGTGTGGGGGAGCTTCCCACAGGGAAGAGGCAGCCAGTGGGCAGATGCAGGCAGGTTCTGACAGAGAACAAGAGAGAACGAAACCACATAAGGCACTAACCTTGCTCCCCCGGGAAACTAGAACAGACAAACACTTGGTGATGCCAAATGGATCCGTGCCTCCCGTCCAGAGAAGGCCAAGTGCAGGGGTGAGAAGCAGGCAGTGGTGAACTTTCCCCGAGAGGGTGAAAACCCTTATGTTCTGGTTTAATGCAGGACGATGAGGAGAAGCAGGAAGGGTCCCTGTGACCTAAAACAATGCAAGGAAGTGAAGTGCTCATATGAGTTTGATTGTTGTTGTTGTCCTAGACCTCGCTAGACTCATCATGAATTCGCTTGGCACAGCAACCACTCAGTTTGGGTTTGACCTTTTCAAGGAGCTGAATAAAACTAAGGATGGTAACATCTTCTTCTCGCCTGTAAGCATCACCACTGCCATTGGCATGCTGCCCCTGGGGACCCGAGGAGCCACTGCCACCCAGTTGCAGGAGGTACGTGGGCTTCCTTAGCTTTCCAGGCACTGTCCTGTCTCTGGAGGCAGCCTTCTAGCATTACCTCGCAAATAGGCCCCTCTTGATCTGTGGGGCAGGAAACAGAGAGAGTGTATGAAGACATGGAGCAGCCTCAGGTCTACCATGGAAGTCCCCATCCCTCTCCACATTCCGCCATGCCATCTCCTCCCTGGTGCTTGGTATTCCTTTGGGTGAGGCCTGGGTCAGTGGCCTTGTCCAAAGCCATGAACCTCATAATTAAACACAGAGTGGGAAGAACAAAACCGACTGGGAGGAGTTGCATCATCCNTGAAGAACAAAAGGACAGCAACTTGTCTGTTCCCCTTCCCCCAGTTCCCCAGCGCTGTTCCCATCCCCCCAATTCCCCAATAAAAATCTTTAAAAAACCCCCCACAAAAACAAACAAACAAACGAACAAAAAACAACACAGGTTTAGGTCAGCTGCCCTAGAAGCAGAGCCAAAGGCAGAGATTCTTGTTCAAGGAACTCGGGGGTTTGGGGGAGCAAAGGAGAGGAGAGTGTTTCTTTGAGAGAAGTAGGACAGGGTAAGGGAAACGTGCACATTAATCACAAGGGCTTGGTCTCATCCTGTTCTGGAAGCTCAGGGTGACAAATTGCACTTACAAAATTAGTCTTATTTTGATGCAAGGGGGCTGTCCTGTCCTTGTGTACCCTTATGCCAGTGAGTCACCCCTGAGGTGTGATTAAAATGAGGTGGGGTGGGGTGTCTTGTAGCTTCCCAGGTAGGTGGGTCCTATTTAGCTGAGAGTCATTTGAGAGAAGGGCAGCTGTGATGATCAACCCAAACAGCAACTGGGTGAAAGGAGCACTGGCTGGTAAAGGGTGATGATATTGAAAATCAGGTTTAGAGAGAACAAAAATGAAAATTTGTAACCAGGTGGAGAAATTTTGGTGTACCGTGATGCACCGTGATTTACAGCAGGAACAGTTCCTGGCGATGGCAACGCCCAAAGCATGACCATGTGCATGGGCTTCTAGAGAGGAAAGAGAAGTGAGAGATGCCACTGACATGGACTGTGAGGACACAGAGGGAGGTGGTGGTTCAGGCAGACAGGCAGGCCATGTGCAGAGTGCAGGGCACAGGAGGGTATGATTGGCAGGGTGGCATAGCGAGATGGTGTAAATCTAAAAAAGGGACAATGAATGTGATTGAAGGAAGAAAGGCTTGGAAGAAACAAGAGTGAGAAAGACTATGAATGGGGAGCTTGCCTCCTGACCTCAACATCTGAGTGGCAGCCAGTGAAGATTGTGGGACGTGGTGGTGTTGGGGGAAAGCCAGGCTTCTGTGTGAAGGCTGGGTGGTAGAGAAAATGCTTTAGGAAGAAGCAGAGGGCGAACGGAAATAGCTGGGCAATGGGACAGGGAGTCTAGGGGCATAGAGAAAGCAATTAGAGGGTATAAACTGATAGGGCTATTAAAGCAGAGTTATTGCCAACTCAAGGGTTCATACCATTTTTAAAAACCAGCACTTTCATTTCACTGGCCTTCAGGGTTCACTCCATGAGTAGGTGCTAATTCTTTCTAAACCTTCCTCAGCGTGCATATTTCTCAGTGACAATTCGAAAGAGAAGTTAGTTAAATACTGCTTTGAGTCTGCTTAAAGAGCTGTAATCAAAAATATTAAAAAAAAATTTAGCAAATTGTGACCTTTAAGGTTGGTACAGATGTTATTCAGCCCTTAGAAGCTGCATCACTGAGCTGCTTCCTTCTGTAGACACTCACCCAGGTGGGAGGGGAGAGCGGAGATGTCCTTCTAGGCTATGCTGTTGCCAATGTTGAGGGATCTTCACATACGTTACTGAAGACTGTAGCTGAGAGTGCTAATCCAGACGCTGTTCCTTTTAATGAACTAGTAGAGCCAGTAGGGGCGCCCCAGGGTTGGCAGGAAAAACTGGAATTTGAAGATGTAATTTCCTATTGAGTTTTTCTTTTTCTTTTTTCTTTACTAGTGTTGTTTTCCTGAAATCAGTAAGCTTGTTATATATTTATGAATTACTGACGCCGAGCCTAATGTGTGATACATAGCAGACTCTCAATAAATGTTTATTGAATGAATTAAAATGAGAGATTTCCTAATTATGAACAGAATACTTGAGAACAAGAGAGGCGTGCATGTGTACGTGGGTGTTCAGCTGCCTGCCGAAATGTTCTTGCTACGCTTTTCACTATTTTTCTAGAAAGATATTTTTCCTTCATTTTTTTTTTTGCATTTGGCATCCCCCAAATGATGCAACATGAAAGTTAATTTACAGAGACTGGGCTTGTCAGGACACAGTCTGTGGTAAGTAAGTATGCATTAACTCAGAGCTTCATCAGACTATGATGAAGCTGTGGTTCCCAACTTTGGATGCACATTAAGGCACCTGGGGTGATAAAAATTTTGATGTCTGATTCCCACCCCAGAGATGCTGACTCAGTTGTTCTGTGGTGGGGCTTGGGAATAGATTTTTTTTCAAGTCCCCCAGGAGATTTTAATGTGCATCTAAAGTGGAGGACCAGTGCTCTAAACAATTTTTTCCTGAGGATTATATTTCCACTATCATTAGGGTTGCAGGCTCTCTCACGGTCTCCTTTCCTCTTCTCCCCGCTTGGGTCATAATTTATTTAATTTGACCATTTTAATGCTGCCATTTTAGTCCTGGGTTGAGCTCCTGCTTTTAGTCTTATTTGGTTGTCTGGTTAATTAGCTCTCTGTATGCTTGGACCCCCACAAATTTCTAAGGGATTTTGGAGGAGTTAGCATTGCAGCTCTCTTCCTCTATGTCTGATGTGTATAATGTTGGAGCTGCAGTTCACAACACAATTGCCGACAACTTCAAGTGCACAGCTTCATGGCCATGCTTGGAAGACATAGGAAATTCAATCCTTGGTTTTGTCGTAAACTTGACATGCTAATTTTATTAGGGAAATCATCGTTGGGAAACCAAAGGTTGTTTCACTGGAAACACAGATGATAATGACTAGGGAGGGAGAGGCAGAGATATAAATTAAAGATCTCAGTTACTCATTTTACACATGCTTCCTAGTTCTTCGCTCAGCCGTCTCTTCAACAGCCAGGTAAGTTCTTCCTTCAGCTCCAACTTAAGACTTCTTGTGTTTTGAGAATGTTTGTTGATGTGAAAGAAGTGCTTTTATTGTGCCTAACTTTCCTTGGGATGGTTTTCTTTAATTTGGTGCCTACAAAGCCATGCTACTGTAGCTCCTTCATCTTATTCAACAGTGAGTTAATTCATTTTATTTCTAAGTTAACCCGAAAGGAATTGCTTCAAGGGAACTTGGGGGGTGAAATGGAAATTTTAACAGCAGGTGGGGGATGCCTTAGCAGGGGTGGGCCCTTGATAGCCAAGACCCCCTCCCCTCAGAATGTGTAGGCTTTCAAAAACTTTTATTGTGCATTCATCTCATTCTATTTTAGGATTTTCCTGAAACCTTGATTAACTAGTTATAACATAGCTGGTGAAGAATGTATAAAACATGTTTTATTTATGTATTTTTGACAAATATTAATTGTTCTTTTAAAATTTTATTTTTGTGAGATGACAGAAGTAAAAAATTGAACTCACTATACAAGCTTGAAACAACATAGAAAAGTATAAAACAGAAAACTCTTTCACTCCACTTAATAATCCATGGCTAGAGCTATGTCATTGCTGTTCAGGAAAAATTCAGCCCAGAGTCAAGTTTTTAGGCAGTTAGGGATTA